ACCCCACATGATATTTACCCCACATACTTTTATTCCTACCCGGACATGATCTCTACCCGCATGTTATTTTCTTGAACAAATCCTAACCGCATATATTTATAATTCACATGCTTTGAACAAAACATAAAATAGTGAATAAATCAAGCATCCTAGGTCTTGAAATGATGTTTTGGGTGGGCTCTAATTACTTGCAGCATCACGGTTTAGTTCTAAAAAAGGTACCCGAGTTCTCCTCACTAGTGCCCTCTTGGGCTTGCCAGACCCTTAGTCTTAAGCCTATTACAATCTCATATGGACCAAGTTAAACTCGAGATGATACATTCCTTTATGTCTGTACGGAGAATAAATTCACACGAAGACATAAGGTATATGAATCCCGAAGATTACTTGCTAGGCCTATACGGAGAATAAATTCCCACGAAGGTGTCGCTTTCACCTCTACTTACAAAAGGGTTTGGAGCTCGGGTATAGAGCCTAAGAGGAATTTTTGAAAAGATGAAATCATTAAAAATATCAGTATGACTATTTATTTGAAAAATAATAATCAAAGGTAAATAATAAGGATCAAAAAGATAAATTAAAATTTAAACATACAATTTTCGCTTAAAAAGACAACCGTAAATTAATTTTAGCCTGATTCACTTACCTAGTCCCCAGCAGAGTCGCCAAGCTGTCGTAACCGTCCTTTGGGTGGTCCCAGGATCTGGTTTCGACTTGATTTTGATGTGTTGGAGCCACCACCGATCATTTAAAATTAGGTTGGTCGGATACCTTAATTGACCATTTTACCTGATATGCACTTTTATCATAATTGAATCAGATTTGGGAGTCGATTACAGTCAGGGAAGGATTAGCACCCCTGTACTGCCCTTTTGGTACCAATTTAATTTCTCGGTTGTCTTAATTACAAAAATTAAAATTTGAAATTCGATCTGAATTACTTACCTTTGATCGATTAAAATTTCCCCTAAAATGTCAAAAAATGTTAGATTGTAAAAATAAAATAAATAAATATTAAATAAATCAAAGAGAACAAAGGGTTAAATTAAGAAAATAAAAAATAAAAAAAAAGAAAGAATAATAAATTAAAGTAAAAATGTTAAAAGAGAAATAAAAATAAAAAATAATAAAATGAAGAAAATGTTAAATTTTAAAAGAACTAAAAAATAAAAAAAAAATTAAAGGATCAAATTGAAACAAATTGAAATTTATGGATCAAATCAATGCTAAATGTGAGCTACAAGAGAGAAACAAAAGGTTAGGGGTACCAGATTGCAAAATATAAGAAATATAATCAAGGATTAAATTAAAATAATTCAAAAGTCAAGGGCCAATTTACAATAGGTGAGCAGAATGAATTACGCTTCAAAACTACGGGGACTACAAAAATAATTTAACTATTTGCTAATTACATCGAGGACCCCCTATAAATAGCATATAGCCCAAAAATCACAAAATTATATCTTTTCAACAATTTCTCAAAACATTCTCCCCCTAAACTCTTTCAATCTTCTCATTGCTCTCCCCGTCAGCCTAGAGCCGGATACCCCCCACCGGTGATCAACCGCTGCTTTGGCCTCCGTCTCCGACAGCCAGACAACCTAAAATCTACACCTTTCAAAATCCCACATCATCCCGAGGCCAAAACTGAACCCCAAACTTCCTAAAAAAAACCCCAAACGGCATAGATCTAAGATTAATATTTCGATTTTTTTACCTTTAAATTAGTGGCTCTTCGAAAATCTGGCGACTTTTAGCTTCACTCTGGTGACAAAAAAGCTTTCTCCTTTGTGTTTTTTACTTTTTTAATATTTTTGTGCAGAAAAAGATGACTCCTTTCAATGGTCCACCGGTGTGACGCTTCATTTTTTTCCTGTGTATTTTCCTCTGTGGTTAGGTGCTTTCTTTGCTTGATGTGGATGCCTCGGTGTTTTTGTGGTGTTGAGTTCAATGGTTTTTTGGTATTTTGCTGCCCGTTTCTGTGTTTCTATCTTTTCTTCGTTCGGTTTCTCTCGGTGTGTTTATATAGCCCCCCGATGGGGTTGTTTCTGGTCATTACGGGGGACGTTTCCCTCTTCTTCGTTTTACTCGGCCATGCTATCGTTCACGTTGGCCGAAAATCCATGGATGGTTCAGTCCTGGGTTGCTCCGATTTTCACTATCGAAATCTCGATCAGTTACTGTGCATGGCTACCAGCGCGTGGTCCTAACGCGCCATTCAAGCCCCCCTATGCGGCGCCTTCCCCTAATGTTGAAACCCTAACATGTTAATTTGGGATAGGTCAAGCCCCTTAACCGGGCTTGCTTTGATGGGTTAGGCTGGCATAGCTCGGTTAGGCTCCCTTGCTTGACCATCTGGAATTTGGACCTGAACCGAAAATGAATATAAAATAATTAAGTAAATAAATTAATAAATTAATAAATAACACTATAAATATAATACATACTATATATTTATTTAAAAATTATATAATATATATTATATTTTTAAAAACTATATAATATGTTTTCAAAAATTATATATATTATATATGTTTTTAGAAACCATTTTAAAAACTATATATATATATATATATATATATATATATATATTCAAAAATATGTTTTCAAAACTATTTTATATATGTTTTTAAAAAATGATTTTTTTAAACTATATATTATACATTTTCAAAAATATGTTTTCAAAACCATATTATATATGTTTTCAAAAACCGACTTTTAAAACACTATATATTATATGATTTCAAAAAACATTTTCTAAAACTATATATTATACGTTTTCAAAAATATTTTTAAAAATTATACTATATATTATTATATATATTATCATATATACTAAATAAGCGCCTTGAAATCCAGGACGAAAATAGGTGACTACAATGACATTGTTGGAGGATCAAGAGCTCGTTAAAGAACCAAACAATCTGAGTCAGTTTGAGAACTTAAGAGTCAATTCTAAAGAGTGTTGTAGAACTAATGAAAGACGAGAGTTCTCTCACAAAATTAACTTTTGATGCTAGATCCTCATAATTACGTCTGTTCATGTTGGCATGCTATCAACAACTCTTGTAGTTATCACTGCGACAACTTAAACCATTCTGCAGAAGATTATGTGTTCCTATAACGAAAAATTTGAAGTCAACACTTGTCAAGGAACCAATACCTATGAAAGATCAGGAGGCTCGAGGCCAAGCTCATGTAAGCCAACACTCCAACTATCCGCAACCTGTAGATTTACAAAGCCAATCTCTGAAACCTATCAATAGCAGGCACTAGGTTCTCATGGTGGACCGGACAAAAAGAAAATAGAATCTTAGAATTTCTAACCCCCCTTTTTGCTTAAAGTCGGATTGATTGGATAAAACTTTTAGATTGGACCAAATATATATTCTATATACAGTAATGTCACATCTTCCTAGTCAGATCGACGATGTTACATTTAGTGATAAAAGTCACAATTTTAATTGAATTCTTGTATTAAACAGTCTTGTGAGTTGTACATGTCATTAAGATATCTAAATTACGAATTTATGTTTGTATAAATGATTATTAAACAAGTAAATATATATAAGATATCAAATTATATATTCACATATATTAAACATTGAAAAAATAAACAACATTGTCGTAACCAAAACTAAATTTAGATGATAAACACCTTACTATTCATATCTGAATCAATATCAAATAAAAAAAAATCAAAGTCGAAATAAAAAAAATGAATAACCTCTACTTTCCGATTTTAAAATATCTATTTCCCATCCCTAACAAAATTTAACTAAAATTAATACAGTTGTCTTTTGGTCTTGCTGTTTCTGAAGTAAAATTGTATTGTATATGTGTATGTCTGAGTTAATGTTGTTTTGTCCGTTGGAGCTCTAATACCTTGTTTCAATCTTGGCATGTGGGTGTAAAAATCGGATTCATGTTAGGTTACAGTATGCATTTGATGAAGTCAACATGTAGATGTCCATTTGATCTTAACATGTATCTTTCCGTCCTTTGAATTCAAGAGATGATATTTTTGGTTGATTCGGCCGTTATGGACCACATCCCTCAGATTGATATCCAATTTCCCCAAACATTCCTACAGCACATTTAAACCACGCTATTCAGTTAGTCTGGACCGATTTTCAATTCGAATATTATTTTAAGCGGGTTTGGTTTGATTTTTATTTAAAATTAATAAAAAAAATCTAGGGAAAAAGACATCAGAGGTCCCTATACTTTTGAAAAAAACCCAATATAGTCATCATATTATATTTCTCTCAATGTAGCCTTCAAACTCAGAAAATAAATCCAATATGGTCCTTTGACCAATGTTTTTTCGTCGCTTAATGTTACAGTGTTGTGATAGTTTACGGTGCTTACCACTTGAACTAACCATTGTTGGTCAAAGGACTACATTGGATTGACTGATTCATCCACTATACTTTTATTTTTGTAAACAAAATTGGAGGGAACTGCTATTCTCCCAAAATCAGCATGTACCTTAGAATGGAAACCGATGCCTTTTCGCCTGCTATTAACTTGGATACGAATTGTGTCATTCAAAGGAGGCTCCTCTACCATAAATTGGAACTCTTCGTTCCATAGCGGATTGCGTGTTTTTTTGAGCTTCTGAAAACACCATTCTACAACTCAGAAATGTCGCAAACTGTTGAATCGTAATTAGAGATTTAAAGAACAATACGTTATCGAAATAAGAATAGTTATAAAGCAGGAAAGATATCATTAGAAACAATTATTGCGCATAATCACAATATTTTTAAAGATTGTAGTAGCATTCGCTATATCTACAATAATAATAAACGTAACGATCCGAAAATACGACCACAATTGCAATTTAAATCTTTGATCATAACTATCTAAATTAGCAAACAAAAAAAAGGCAAAAATGCATTAAAAGTCCTTGTATTTAAAAAAATGTGGCCATCGTATTATTTTTTCTCTCAACGTGGCTCTCCAATCGAGAAAATAAGTCCAATGTGATCCTTTGATCAATATTTTTCGTCGTTGACCGTTACGGTATTGACATGACAGTTTACGATGCTGACGTGGCGTTTCACTATGTTGACGTTGCAGTTCACAGTGATTGATAGTGGCAGATGGGCTAAATTGGTAACATGACAAATGGACTGCCACATCAGCACAGTAACGGTCAAACGACGAAAAACGTTAGTCAAATGATGGTTTGTTTTATAAGTTGGACGGCCACATTAATTTTTTATCTAAAGTATAGAACCTCTTATGCCTTTTAGCAAAAAAAAAAAAAAGAGTTGAAAGAAGAAATAGACCTTGGTCTTCTTTTTTTCTCCTCGGAATCGGACCACAGCATAGGGGTTGTTGTGGCGTACACCTTCGACATCCTCCGCTCCTTGAACTGTAACAGAAAGCAAACCCGAACCAGTTAAAACATCAGCTTCAGTTAGTCTCTCGAAACTGTTTTCCTTACTCCCACTTCGAGGACTATCTACTTTGATGTTGTCTTCTTTGAACGGCGCATACATGAGCTCGATCACAATGTTCCCTCGTTGCTTCTTATCAGTGGGATCGGCACTGAATGCGTGCTTCAGCAAATCAAGTTTGAATTCCTTGTTCTCATTGGGTGTAAGAAGTTTCAAAGGGACGAACTGCATTCCCATTCTGTCGTGTGCACCCACCTGCAATACCAACACAATTCATATAGATCTCTTTTTGTTTGGGGTAAACTATTCAAATGACTACTTAACTATAAGGGTAGTATCAATAGGACCATCATACTTTCAATTGTGACAATATCATCACATAACTATTTAAGTAGTTTCAATGTAACCACTTGCCGTTTAAAATAGACAGCGTAGCTAGTGTAACTGTTATTAACTAAGAGTGAGTTAGAGGTTCACATCAGCTACACCATCTGCTTTTAACAGGAAATGGCTGCATTGAAACTACTAAAATAATTATCTGGTCATATTCACAAAATTAAAAGTACAATGATCATATTGACACCAACTCATAGTTAAGTGATCATTTGAATAGTTTACCCTATTGTTTTATCTCTGAATTTTGATTCCGTTAATAATAGGGGTAAAGTTCACAAATAGTCCCGTGACTTATAGGTATTGTTTTGTTGAGTCCATTGACTATTAAAAGTTGCAAAATGATCTCTCGACTATAGGGTGTTATTTTTTAGTCCCTCAACTATTAAAAGTTACAAAATGGTCTTGACCACTTATATGTTCCAAACTTGTCATTCTTCATTAAAAAGTTGGTGTTCGTCTGAGTTAGACATTAACTTATTGATTGAGATATGATGAAGTTTGATCCCAAAATCTTTTGAGTAGTATAGTCATTTGAGACTTTGTGATCAAATTTTATTATATCTTAGTCAACATATTAACATCCAACTCAAAGGATCGACAATTTTTTAATAGGAAAGGACGAGTTTGGAATATATGAACAGTTGAATGATCATTTTGTAACTTTTACAAGTCAGGAGACTCACAAAATAGTGACCTATAATCGATGGATCATTTTATAACTTTTAAAATTCGATGGACTCAACAAAAAACCATCCTATAGTCGGGATCATTTGTGTACTTTATCCTAATAATAATTAATAAAAAAAAAGAACCTTGTCCCAGTCGAAGACTTCGAGCTGAAGAATTTGAGAAGATGGGTCCTTGACGATGAGCTTGAACTTCTCATTCCAAACGGGATTCAAATTCCTCTTCTTGATTGTTGTTTTCTTAGCAAGCAAACTCTCTCCGGTTAGCCTTAATTTGACATAAGGATCTGATGTTCCCAGGAAGTCCATCTTTAAGAGCTTATGTGCTCGAACAACCTTCACGTGTAGTATTCCCACCGGCTTGTTTATAGCCACTCTATGGGAACACCAAAATCTCAACTTAACCAATAACTTATAGTTTCTTTAATCTACAATGTATATACTACAGCTCTAATTTATGTTACTTGTACTTGTGATAGCTTAAGTTAAATTGGGTTCATATCGGTAACGGGTTAAAAATTCAAAGGTACCTTGTAGGCTTGTACTCATCCATGGATGGATCCAAGGCAGTGATTGGGAGCAATCGTCCCCTAGAATTTTCATAATTTTATGTATTTTAAATATTATCTTTTTATTTTAATCATAGGTCGCCCCCGTCATCACCCAGTTTTCATCCTTACATAATGCAAGAATGTATGCACAAACAAAACAGTCTACAAGTAAATAACAACTTACGTTGAAGGATCAAGAATAGGAATCTCTAATGATTGTGGCCAAAGATAGAGGCTTGAGACTTGCATTTTAATTGTTCTCTGCAGGCAACTAGAAAAGTTAGTTCAGTTACACAATAAGCTTGAAGGTTCTTTAAATATAAACCATCTATATTGCTCATACTCTATATATAATAAAAAATACTTGATAACATTGAAATTACCGGTACAGCACCTGGACAAGATGATAAAGTCCGGGTACAGACATAACATCCCCTCCAAGAACATTCATTCCAAAGTCTATCTCAGGCTGCAACAACATGGTAAAACATCATCCATGATAATAACCATTTTTTAGGGTTTAAGATTTAGAAAGTATGACCAACCCTTTTCAGTAGAGATATTGAAACATTTGCAAAACATGGTATGGTTGGTACAAGAGGTTTCAATGTTATCCTTGGTGACATTAGTACTTGTATATCTACAATCTGTGAACAAGAACAAATAATCAAACTTATACAAACAGAAAAGAGATTATGTCTCTAAACTAAATTTAAAAGGGTAAAATACACAAATGGTCTCCCGACTATTAAAAGTTACAAAATAGTCACCTAACTATTTATATGTTCCAAACTCGTCATTTTCCGTTAAAAGGTTGTTGGCCGTCTAAGCTGAACGTTAACCTTTTGATTGGGATATGATAAAAGCATACTTTAATAATATCTACGAGCACCGCCATTGCTTTCAATCACTAGCTCAACGACATAATGTTTCAAGCATTGGCTTGATGTGATAATGTAAACGGAGAGTTGATTCATAAAATACAACTTAAACGGTTTTGGGATCAGATTTTATCATGTCACAGTCAATATGTTAATGTCTAACTTAGACAACCGCCAATATTTTAATATAAAATGATGAATTTAAAAGTATGAATAGTCGAGCGATCATTTTGTAACTTTTAATAGTCGGAGGATTCGACAAAGCAACACCATATAGTCGGAAGATCACTTTGTAACTTTTAATAGTTGGGATCGTTTTCTAACTTTTAATAGTCGATAGCTCAATAAATCAGTGCCTTATAGTTGGAGACCATTTGTGTATTTTACCCAATTAAAAAAAACTCAACCCTCTTAATTTAATAAATCTATATAGGAACTCATGCAAGATTTATATTAGGACCAAAATATATTATTAACAAAAAAAATATAAAGAAAATATCTAAAATATATAAGAATTTGATATTTTTAAGAGTAATTGTCCCTTCATCCCATCGTACCTGTATCCATACATAACTTTACTTAAAATTATTGATACCTGAATTGTGATTCGAAAAGATAACAATTTCACAGCCAAAATTATGTTGGGATTGCCAGCCCATCTAATTGCTGGTTCAAGGACTAGTTCGTTCTCATTAGTTTCGATGATTTTAAGACCTGCAAACGGTGAAATACAATAAAATCAGATAAACCCTTATCTTTCATTTTTTTTTTTGAAAGTTATATTTGTAAACGACAGCAAATAACTTACCATAAATATCAGGAGGAAGTGTTCCAAGTGTTAACTTTTCATACTTAATGTATTTTATATGAAACATCCCCACATACTCTGCAAACATGGGTTCTGTGGTGCTTCTTACTGAAGAACAAATTGCCTGTGGATTCAAGTTAAAACCCAGCTTGATATTTGAATCATTGAAATATGAAAAATAGAGTCGAGAGATCCACTAATTGATCGAGTAATCATACAACCTTTTCAAGGTATGGCCACATATCAGCGATGAACTTGTTCAGCCAATCTACCTACATCATTATATTCATGTGTTAGACATAAGTTCTTAATACATGCATTTAAAAAAAATAGTCCAAAGATTCATTAACTGATCGATTAATCCAGGATGAACATGTTATATCTCCATGACTCTATTTAACAAGAAAAATGAAATCCGAATTAAGAAAGATCTCAAATGCTTACTCTCTCGAAATCAGGGCATTTTACCCATAATGGAATATCATTAAGAAGATTGAGCAAAGCGGTGCTATCAAGCTCATTCAGGCTCCTTGTGATTGGTTCCTATATAAGGTAGACCACATAAGAGCTTAAAACAAGCATAATCTAACTGCAAAATAACATCTCTGTCAATATGGAACATTAAACCTTATGGTTTTCAATATTTTTTCTAAAGCTAAAGGGCTAGTAAAAAGAAACAGAGTGTTTGATTTGAAATTTTGAAATGGTTACCGTGATTTAAACTTTGAAGTTATTGATTAATTCATGTGATAATTCATAGAATACTAAAGAAATTTAAATTCTTGTTTATGTTGGGAGTGTATTTCTAAAATTTTAGGAAGGGATGAACTTATGAAATTCTAAGAAGCGAAAACATATTATCAATAAAAAATAAAAGAAAACATCTAAAATATATTTGAAATTTTTAGGAATGCTACCCTAGTCCCTTCGATCCATTCCTGCCTTTCCAAATAACAATTCAAAACAGCCAAACAATTTCCTCTTTATGCCTGGAAACAAGGATTTAATGAGCAAACATCTCAAACAACTTTTATTTTACAATTCAAAATCTATCAACTACAACAAACATGGATACTTTTTCATATTAATTAAAAAAAATAAAGGTTATATTTATGATTAAAAGCTAGAATTTCATGTTCAAGCAGTGATACTTTTCTTGTATAAAATGTTGTATATCATTTGCAATACAATGTTCTTAAGTTAAAATCCAGTAAATGTGAAAAAAAAACATGGAGATGTAATTTTACTTTGCCAGAGATTAATAGAGAAAAAATATTCTTGTTAAGGCCTAGAAGAAACAAATAAGTACGCAAATGAAATCTAAAACCTTAATATAAAATACAATGAGGCTTTCAAACATTCATATGCCAAAACCAGTAAATAAATGAAAAAACAAAGCATTGAACTTTGACCTAACAAAGAGAAAATGGTCTTTGTAAAGGTTATAAAGAAAATAATTAAACAAACAGAAACCCAGATTGAAATCTAAATAAGGATGATAAAAAAGAAAAGTAAATAAACAAAAATTGAAGCAGGGATAAATTCTTTGTTTACCTGAACAATTTTGGGTTTAGAGTAAATGAAGAAATAAAATCCAAGAAAGAGTCCAAAAGGAACTCCAATTCCAAAGCCAATAATTCCCGCCAGAGTACTCAAAATTGCCATTTACCAGCTTCTCTTTTATTATTGTTTTGCTTTTTGTTTTTTTCTATTCAAGAAACCATGGAAAAAAGGTAAAAAATGGGATCGATTTCAGAGACAAAATGGAAAAAATAATTGTCTCAAAATGAGGGATTTGTTAAAATGTTTAGATATAGTTTTAATTTATTTTGTTTGAAATTCTGTTATACTCGGTTAAGAGCCATTGTTAGGTTGGGGGCCATGTTTAAAGGAAATTTGAAGTAGCGGATTTGCAAAGATTTTATTCATAAAATCTTTTTATTTCATGACATCCCATTTATAATAATTTTTTTTTTATTTCATTACATCGCAAAAAATAAAAGTCAAAATCTTTCATTATATACTTAGCTAATAATTATTGTAACAATAAATTTATACGGGCCTGAAATATCTGGTCTAAATTTATTGAATCCTCTAAATCTGAGACTCAAAACTTAAAAAATCTTGACCCCAAACCTTGGTCTCAACCATTGCCGCCCTTCCAATTGTCGACAGGATTCGCGTTGGAGAAGAACTCTACTACCTCATTCCTGAAACAACCCTTCCAAATCTGAAACTCATTCAGCCTTTCCAAGTGAATAAAAAATAAAGAAAGGAAACAAAGAAAGCAAAATGCAAAGAAGTGCCAAAGGTGACAAGCAACATCATTATTCCAACCGATCCTAAAAGAGTCGTCAAAAACTTTGATTGTTTCTTCTAGAAAGGTGGTGAGTATTTTGCATAGTAAGTGAACATTTCTTTATTGTTCTTCCTTTTATAAGACCACCCTTCATTATTTAATCTTTCTACCCTTCTATTTTTCCCTCTACCCTAACGAACTTTTCAACCGACACCCATAGCACTTGAAAGGTCTCGAGTTAGTTCTTTTAAGAACTTTGCAAGAGAGAAACTAGTGGAAAAAGGCTAAAAGAGTGTGCGAGATCAGAAGGGGAATTGAAAAAGCCAATTTATATTCCCAAGTGAAACACAAGTGCTTGAGTGGAGTGACATCACAAATTCTTTTGGATTGACTGTGAGGTTTTGTTGTGTGAAATTTTGTAAGGTCTTAATTTTCACATTTCATTTTTTTACTAACAATGTTATTTGATCTCTCCTCTTCCCAAGCAATGGAGAACATTCAACAAAGAGAGAATGCATTTCATACTCGTTGCCATGTAAATGTTAAAGATGGTAAAGTATGCCTTCTAGCCATTGATGGTGGAAGTTGTGCAAATCTTGCAAGCACATACATGGTTGAGAAGTTGGGGCTTATAACATTCAAACATCCCAATCCATATGTTTTGCAAGGATTAAATGAAGATGAAGAGTTAGAAGTCATAGAACAAGTACTTGTGTCATTTTCAATTGGGAGATATGAAGATGAGGTCTTGTGTGATGTTGTTTCCATGAATTCAAGCCATCTACTCCTCGGACGTCCTTGGCAGTTTGATAAACGAGCATTGTATGATGGGTTCTCGAACAAGTATTCATTCAAACACCAATTGAGAAAGATCACGTTGGTTCCAATGTGCCCAAATCAAGTCCATGAATGCCAAGTTATCATCAAATCACGTATAGAAGAATGAAATAAAACTAAAGCCATGAAGAAAGTTGAAAGAGATTTTTCACGTGAGAAACAAATAACAGTGGAGGGAGATCAAAATGAAAATGAGAAAATTGATGTCAGAAACGTTGGAGTCGAAAATGAGAAAGTTGAAAAGATTGAATTTGGGAGAAAAGGGGGAAGTGTGTGTAGAAGAGAAAATGAAAAGATTGCAAGTGAGGTTATGGTTAAAAGATATAGTGGAGTTGAACATGCACAAATCAAAGAAGAACATTGTGAGAAAAACAAGACATTTGGAGTTGAAAATGAGAGTGTGATTTTTCGTGAGAAAGCCATTAGAGTAATTGAAGATGAGAGTAAGAACATTGAGAGTGAAGATGAGTGTGTTGAAAAACATGAGCATGAGAGAAAAAAATGTGAGGAGAAGGAAGTTTTGCTTTATACTGATAATTTTTTTCTTCTATTCGTTCTTTGAATTTGCAGGTTATTCAAAGGGACATTCAAGATGATTCAAACATAATTTCTTTTGAAATTCCAAAAGATGTGTCACTTAAAATTATAAAGAACATGTTCATTAACCTTCAAAGTACATTCACCCCATACTCAAGATCGAATGAACATTATGAAATGGAAGATTCAATGAACCTACCCATGGAGAACATTAAGAGCCCAAACTCATTCATTCATGAATTTAATCCTTTCCTTTCATTTGATTCTAAATTTGTTTTATTTTTCAGATTGTTGATTCAAAAGAGAAGACTTGAACATGTGAAGCATTTTGAGCAAAGAAAACGATGCAAGATGAGAATGAAAGAATTTCCATTCAAACGAAAATCAAAGTTGTTCCCTTATGTACCAAGCATCGATTTGGGGACAAATCGCCATAAAGAAGGGGGGATGATGTGATCCTACCGACCATCAAGTTCAAACAAAACATGCTCACAACTTTGAAGTTCTTCCAAGATGATTCTAAGGGAGTTCTTCCATATTTTATTACTTATTTACTCATATATGCTTTATATGTGTTATAAGCATGCTTTGACATTCTAAACTATGCTTGAATATTCATATATTGTCCTATGTTTGCATCCTATATGATATTCATGCATGTCACATCTTTAATTAGCTTGTTTCATGCATATGTTACACATTCCTTACTTATGTTATCATATAAATTGCATTATTATATTAGCCATGGAATCATGTGTTGCATTAGAATGTTACTTAATACTTATTCATTTCCTTGAGCATTGTAACTTATATACTTTTTGTATTTATTACAAGGTACATTCAAGGTAATCCAATGGACAGATTCACGACGCTCATAGAGATCCCCATTTTTGAACATGTTCCAAGAATCTTTGGGTGATAAATTCTTCTTAACATTTAATCCCCTATATCGTATCTTTCCAACTCACTTTAAATCATATCAATCTGATATTGGGAGCTCAAGATATGCCCATTTTAATGAAGATAGTGTAGGCTAGAAATAAGTACGGGATTTACAACCAAATGAAGAGCCATGTTCACACCTGATGCATTTCCACCTTCATGAATCCATTTATGGCGTGTACAACCATACAAGGAGGATAAAGGACTTTTTCACATTCAAGGGAGATGGATGCATTATTTTCAAATGCATTCACCAAATCCAAGTGCATGAAGGGAGCCTATGAGTCACGTTCACACTTGGTGCATGCATTCCAAAGGGGGCTGAACCTAAAATGATACATTCCTCCAAATTTATACAAGGAAATGAAACAACATGTCCACACCAAGAGAGGATGAATTCGGCTATGAAGATGTGTTCAATTAAATGGATGAACATTCAGTTATTTAATTAGTCCATGAACTTACACAGGGGCCCGAACATTATATCTACTTAAGGATGAACATTTATCCATGAAGGTTCACTCATTAAATGTTTTGTATTCACAACATGCACTCTTAGGCCTATAAATAGCTTCTCATTTCACTTGTAAAAGGCAATTCATTTTGTTTAATCAAATATTTGTGAGATCGTTTCTCTCTTTAGTTCTTAAGTGAACTTTATTGACTTATCAAGCTTATGCTTGTGGCGTCACCCCTATCTATTTCACCCTGATACTTATGGTTCCTATCTCTTTATAAATAGTGGGTCAAAGTCCTTGTTTATCACCCCTTAAAGAAGCAATATAAAGTCTGGGTCTTTGTTCTTTAATATTGGTTCTTGTTTGAGTCTTCTTTGAGATACTACATTTCATCTTTATCTCCATCACCTTCCTTCTACTTCCATTACCATACTTCTTCATTTTCTTTAAACATATCGCCAACTTATATA